ATTATATTGTATGCCTGAACCTAATATTACATTGTGTGTTAACTAACTGGAATTTAAATAAAAACGTAAAAAAATAAATAAAATTTCAGGAGTTGCTGATTGGATGCAGGGAGTGAGAGAGAGGAGTCAAGGGTCTAAGATTACTTTATTGAAAGGAAAAGAAAATTTGGAAGGACATATATAAATAAGAGGATGTATGCCTAGGGGAAGATGACTGAGACTAGAAATGTGGGAATTAGGTGGGAAATAATAATCAAAAACCATGCATATCAATGAGGATAGCATGCCAGGATGAGTGACTAAATTCTGCATACATGAAGTCCCCTTTAAAAGATAGAAAAATGAAGAAAGGCACACATGTAAGCAAGTAATTTGTCTTCATTGGTTAAAATGAGTTTCAGGATTAATAATTCTCTCTCTCAAAAATTTTAGATATTATCTTTTTACTTTAATCACATCACCAGCAGAATGACCAATGTGTAAAATCCCTAATCACATTTACATCTTGCTTTTCCCTCAGCTCTGAGATTTGTATTAATATATCATTTACTATACCCTTTTAATAAAGTAATTCAGCATACTTCTGAATCTTTAGACTTACCTAGAAGTTCTCTATCAAAATTCCTTTCTCATGAGTGAATTTTCTACTTATAACTTCTAAATATATTGTGGTTCTCTGCTTGTAATGTAAGAGATTTGTAGTTTTGAAATAGAATGTACTCTTACATGGCTATGTTTCAGTTGCTAGTTTTACCCCACTAAATCTTTGAGGTAAGAACAAGGCTGTATTAATCTGAGTTATTACTATACTTTGTCCATTGATTCACTAGTTCATCAACTATCAACTCAACACCTGTGTCCTAAATTCATGAAATAAAGAGGTGTAGAAAGCATAACCCCCTTCCTCAAGGATTTCCACTGCTTGAGAGAGAAGATAAAAATGTAGACAATACAAATAACTATACTGTAATGTGCTAAGTGTCCTGACAGAGTATGAACAAAATTAAGTTGGAATTTATGGGGGGGGGTACATAACTATAATTTGTCTAGGAAAATATTACAGAAGGCTTATACATATGTTCCATTTAAGTGGTAGAGAGACTTGGCCAAATAAGAAAAGGAAGGCATTCTAAAATCTTAAGTAATATTCTTATCCTCTTTCCATTGATTTTCTCCTAGAAGTTCTCCTAAAAAGATAAATGGTTCTTTCAGAATTCAGTTCATTCAAATTAATTAATACAAAACTTCTAGTTAATATAAGAAACTACTGGCCATTTTTTGGATATCCATGTAAAAACAAAATCATGAATTTCAAAGAAACGTATCAAAACAAATTCATTCTGTTTACTACCAACTGTATGTAAAGTCAATATTCAAGATATGTCTATCAATTAAAAAAAGTAATATTTTACAATATAGCAGGTATATCAATTGGCTTTGGCTTCCATAACAAAATACTATAGACTGAGTGGCTTAACCAACAAGAATTAATTCTGTAGAAATTCTGGGGACTAGAAGTCCAAGATCAAGGTGTTAGCAGGGTTGTATCTGGTGAGAGCTCCACCACTGGGTTATAGATGACCACCTTCTTGCTGTGTTGTTCACATGGCCCTTCCTGGATTTGTGCTCAAGGGAAAGAGTAGGAGCTGGATGTCTTTCCCTCTTTTTTAAGAACACCAGTCCTATCAGACTAAGGTCCTACCCTCTTGACCTCATGCAACCAAAATTACCTCCCAAAGTTTTGTCTCCAAATACCATCATATGTACTTTAACATATAAATTTGGGGTGTTGGGGAGGGAACCACAAACATTCATTTTGTAACAGTATGTTAGTAGATTTGTTAATAAATAAGAAAGCTGAAACACCATCCCTAGTATGAAGAATGGCATTATCTTTCTAGTGAGAAAACAGAACTGTCTTTGCATATCTGTTAGCAAAGATTAATTCAAAACTATGTCAAGTTAGGGGTGCCTGGGTGGCTCAGTCAGTTGTGTCCGACCTCGGCTCAAGTCATGATCTGGTGGTCTGTGAGTTCGAGCCCCACATCAGGCTCTGGTCTGACAGCTCAGAGCCTGGAGACTGCTTCAGATTCTGTGTCTCCCTCTCTCTCTGCCCCCCACCCCCCTGCCCCGCTCATGCTCTCTCTCTCTCTCTGTCCAAAATAAATAAACATTAAAAAAAAAACAAAAAAACTACATCAAGTTAAAAATAATCTTAGATCACAAACTTATTCTCAAAATCAGTTTTCCTATCATTGTTTTGTGTCAACTTATCTGATTTATGACAATGAAATATTAAAACAAAACTATCGGGTAATATTGGTGTTATATTTCTCAGGTTTTTATAGCCAGGCTTTGCTTTGAAAGCTTAAATTATACGTATGAACATTTTCCATGGGCAAACCTGCCGATGATTTTAAATCAGTTAATGCAAATTTTAAATGATCTTCAGTTTTTCTCACCATAAAAAAACTTTATGTTTCAACAGTGCCTTCAGAATATATGAAATTATATATTATATCCTCACATCTGATAGTGGGACACAACTATACCCTCTAGTCTTAATAGCAGGAAAAGTATAGACAACTGTAAAGCTTAGCTTTATTGTTCCATAAATGAACCAGTAAAGTTCATTTTAGTGAAATGAGCACATGCTTTTCATAAATTAAATCCCACATGGTAAGTACTCATTTTCAAAATTAATTTAATTACATGTTTAAAGTTTAATTACATTTAATTAAGCATTTAAGTTTAATATGAAATAAATGAATTATCAGTTAACGACTATGAAATGAAATATTGCCTTGATAATTGAAATCTATAAATTTTCCTATTCTATGCAAAACTGCTAGCTCTCAAAAAACATTCTGAAAAAGTATGTATTTTAAAGACTAGAGGACTATATTCTCACAGGTGATCAAGTTTTTTTTTTCCTGGCACCCAGCTTCATGTGCTGCACATTTACTGCAGGAGCAAATGGAGACAGCCTGGCAGACAAAAAAAAAAGCAGAGGTTTTGAAGACTTAGTCACCAACAGCCTGAAAAAGTGGGAAAGCTACTTAGCATCTCTGACCTCAAGTTTCCTATAAAATGGAGAAAATATTACTTCTTTCGGAGGGTTGTGGGAGGATTAAATGAGCTATCCCATGGTCTAATGCCTGGAACAGTGCCTGACATGGAACAGGTAGTCAATAAATGTTAATTCCCTCCTTCTTTTAGTTGCTGATTGAATGAACAAAAATCTTGTACTTTGGGGATTAAAGAAAGTTTTATTATTTAAATGTTTTATTAGTTACAAAAGTAACACTATATTTTTTGTTCACTTACATCATTCTTAATGGACATTTTATATTTTTTATTTCCCTTAGCACTCTATAAATGGAGGCAATATAGCATTATTGCTAACACAGAATTTTGAGTCAGAAAGAACCAACTTTGAATCTGGGTTCCACCACTTACTGCTTGAGGAATCAGGGAAAAGTTATTTCCCAAGCCATAAAAGCATATGTATGTCTGGTTTACTGAATGACAAAAATTAAGAATGAGTATAATCAGTATAGTCATTCAAACTTAACAAAACATTACTGATGTAGGTAGGACAAATGGTATCCCCCCTATGCTAATTTTTCACAGAAGGATATTTATTTTCACTGAATTTAAGGGATTTTCCTAAGGATGGACTCAGCATCAGAACCCAGATTTCTTTCTTTGTTTCTTTACCAGTGTTCTTTCCTCCATAACATAGGAAGGTAAAGGCAAAGGACAACAAAGTCTCTTGAAGCAGTAAAGCAAAAGAAAGAGAGGGATCTGACTTAGGTTAATCCTGGTTCTATCACTTAATAGTTGAGCCTCAAGTAAACAACTTCTTTAAATTTTGGTATCTTCTTCTGGAAAATGGGAATACAGTTATGTTTCATACAAGGGTTTTACTAGACAACAAATGCAATGTGTAGTAGAGTGACTGACACACAGCAGTCAATCATTAATCATTGCTATTAACACTAAGACAACATCAGAGTACCATTTTTGGTAAGTCTCAAGCCACAGAATGGAGAAACCATAATGAAGCAAAGAATTTTTTTTTTGCGGGGGGGGGACACAGATTTAATAAAAATAAATAAGACAGCCTTTACTAAATTCTCAAGTAATATTCCTGGAAAAGAGACTTTAGACTTGTAAGTCATTTCAGTTCCTGTCTATTAAATCTCCATTTAAGGAGATCATTTTGAAGATGTGGTCAGTGAAGATCAGGTCACTTTGAAAATAATGGTTTTACAATATGAAAGAAAATAGAGGCAACACCCTATTCCATGGATTAGTTTCTACGATTCAACAGTTAAGAATTGAAATTAAATATTCTTAACACTATACATAAATTATTCAAGGTCAAGTACTGTAATTTTCAGACTTTTGTCTTAATAAAGTTAGTATCACTATAAACATGTTGTATTTGTTTAATATTTAAAGCCCTTAACTGTAAAACACAAAAAACCCTACATTGCTCTTAAGGCAATCTAAAAAACTACAAATTGTTTACTTACAGAATAACTAACTACAAATAGAAAGCCTTAATAAATAAAATATCGGAAAACATATTTACTTTCTGAAAGAACATTTATTGAAAAACAGCATTACTTTATACTATTTTCGCTGCTAAGTAGTTTTTAGATATCTATTTGCATTTAGGACTAAAAGACCCCAATTTAAAAACTATTCCACATTTTCTCAAAATTAAAAACAGGAGGTATTATAATTTGGTATCCAGACTTTTCAAACTGCAAATTAAGGATAATAGCATATACAACAGTTATAGGACCAGAAAAAGAAAACTAAATATAAAGAAACATAAAGAAATATTATGAAACATATACACAAGTAAGATCACATATTTTATAGGAAACATTTATTAGGATATGTACCTTTAGTTATGCATTATTTCCAAGAGTGTGGTAAAAATGCATTCTATTGACCTGTGAAATCAGAAATGGGTCATTACTTACCATGGTTCTATATTAAGAGTTGAAGATGATTTTTCTGGGAAAAAAAATCCATGCCATTTTGAAGCCTCAATCAGTTCTTGTGGCATCTTTTTTGATGCATCATAATAGTGACCAAATCTTGAAGATGATACTGGTCCAGCCTGTTAAGAAAAGCCATACTGGTCATGAAAAAAATTATTATTATTATTTTTTAATTATTGTGTTTTTAAACTACAATGTATTTGAACTACATTCAGCAAAATATTGATACATTTATGCATTTTAATGCTGATAAGGAAGAGCTGATACACATAGACTTATTAAATTTCAAAGAAGCATACAACAACTTTTATTATTTTAAATGATAGTTAGAAATCAACCTTTTCATTTCCCATGTTTCTTCACTCCTGGTGGTCACTAAATTTGATAAGAATTCTCTTTGCTTTTCTTACCTTCCTGAGTTGAAAAAAAATTAATATACATGTTTTAATTATTTTTTAAAGATTCCAGGTTTAAATGATCAATTAAATATGGAGTTGCTAAGAACTAATGAAAACTTAAGCCAATTAAATCATTGGTGAGGGGCTCAAAAAAACTAGCTTTTTAAACATATTGAGCTGAGCATCATTTAAAAGCTAAATTCTCACAAGGTAGTGTGTATATACATTCAAAATTTCTTGCTAATTTTAAATTAAGCTCATAGTATAAAATGTATTGAGGATACTCCCGATGGGAACAAGGCACATGATAAGGAGGGAGAATGTGTATAAACTACATTAGATAAATCAGAAACCTGACATCATCATTAGTTCACTGATGCCTCCTCTTTTGTGCTGTTATCAGTTTCTCCAACAAATTATCTTCTACACAAGTAACTCTAATAACTGTTGATGCTGAATTTATGTACATAGGATAGTAAAGGCCTAGTAACAGAACATTCTCATTATATTGCTTTGAATGGATTCTGTGCTGATTCAACTCATTAGAAATATGTACACACCTCTGTACAAAGTTGAACTCCTAACAGGTTCCACCTGGCAATAGTTTCCAATAGTTTCTAATCTAAATTTACATAGTTTCCACTGTCCTGAATGCTATAAAACAGACATATTTCAGAACATTCAACAAAACAGATAATCTGCAGATAATCTCTGCAGAAATGGAAGAGTAAATTCTCATTTTACGAAGTAACTGACAACTTTGTAATTTAGATAAGAAACAGACATTTGCTTGACACTAGATATTTGCATTTTGAGACTTAAAGGATTAATATTCTTCAACTGAATGCCTACCAACATCAACTCTACAGTAACACAGGATAAACAAATTTAAGTCTAATAGAAATATTATTCTCTGATACAGAGTCTGTGAGTTTGGCATTTACTTTCTAAATAAAATGACTGTTTATCCCTCCATAAGATACTGTTCACTTTCATTAAGGAAAGAGACCTATCAATTGGCTCCATCTAATGTTTACAATACAATATATACACAAGTGTGGTTCTCAAAACATGATTTATCTGTTTACCAAGACAGTGTTAACAAATAAAGTATGAGACATTAAAGTATACTTTTTAAAAATAGGGTAAAGTTTTTAAATGTAAAGTTATTAGTATAAAGCAATTTAAACAAGGTCTGTTCTTTGGCCTATAATCTATTCTTTATCCGGATTATAGTTCAGAATGTTTTTACTGCAATCTCTGCTAGAGCTCATCTTTTTATTGTGTAAGTCCAGGCCCCCTTAATGTTTTAGAAAGGCCTTGACTAACTGAACTTTGATCTGATGTCTTCATTGAGAAAAACACCAGGTTGCCCATTTCAGATGCAAATCCTCCTAAGGCCCAATAGAATTTAGTAAAGACAGCAAAAAAGAAGAAACAAGAAGTTTCCAGGATCCTCTTTGAGAATCCTGGGGCACACTGGTGTCCTTAATCCACGCTGCTCCATGGATTAAGGTAGGTGATAACCTTTCCTGATTCAAAAGAATAAGCAGAGTGCCTACAAACTGGGTGGAGACTAGGATTTGGTAATAATAAAACACCATGCAATAAAAGCTTGGTCTATGTCAGAAGCCTCTGAAAAGGCCTCAATGTACCACATTCCCAGGCCTAGTAGGGAAGCTTGCAAAAGCCTACCTGAATCAAATAAGCATGAATAATCTATTTTAGCAGACTGGCCATGGGGAGAGAGAAAGAAAGAGAGACTTTTCGCTTCTTTTAAGTTTGAGTTAATAAATTTATTAGTGCACTGAAGGTTCTTGAAGTCTTGGGCACTCAGAGAAATATGCTAAATTGCCAAGAAGCAAAGTATGCTTTTAAAGTTGCCGTCTCTATTAATGTTTCTAATTATAATATTAATGTGATAGAAATCTCTGATTTGGGATGAATCAAGGCAGAAAATTGATTTCATGCTGTGACAGTTTACATATAGAACACAAATAATTCATTAAAATGTAAGAATAAATTTGGAAGCTTTTCTTATTACCATTATTAATTTTTTAGAAATTATAATTAAATATGGTAACTAAAATATTCACAAGGTAGACATAAAAATTTTTATTAATGATGAAATTTTATTAATCCTTCAATAAAAATGAAAATGGAAAATAAATATATATTTATAGGAAAAACGATTCTGTAAGGTTTTTTTCTACCCATGACACAAAGCATTAACATACAATCAGATTTTTTAAATAATGTGAAATCATAAAACAAAGACTTAAAATATTTCCTTGGAAAAGAGATAACTAAATGTTTTAAATCTGACAATAGTAATACTCTATGAAAAAATGTCAACTCCACAAATGAAAGATGCATTAAAAAAATCAAAATATCATCAATAGCTAAGTCAGTTTTACTCAGTTTGTTAAGAACATGTTGCTTTAGTTTTACATTATGAAAACTTCTATTTCACAGTCTCAAACTATCCTTTACGTTTGTCAGTTGTGGAACAGAGTATAATGGACTGGTTCAGTAAAAATTTACTATGATAAGGGAAAATCAACTCTGATGGGGGGCCAGCAGGGGTACAGAGCAATAAAACAATACCATCCCCTACCTCCAGTATGTTACAAAGAATCAAAACTTTCAGAGAAAAGTTGCACACAAATAAAGTCTAAATAAGACATTTTCTTATTATTGTTACCATTTCTTGTTTCTCAGTATGGCATAATGGAAAGCAAGAGCCCAAATGATTAATTAACCATTTTGAGCCTCAGTTCAATCACTAATAACTATTTTGCTAGGCTGCTGTGAGAATCTAATGCAACACTGGCAATGAATATTTTGTAAATTGTGAAGCACTACATAAGTGATATTAATTATTGTTATTGTGTCATGATTCACTAGGGAACAGAAGATCCATCACTATCCTTTGCAGTAACATTGCCTTATTGAAAAAATGATATCTGTTGTCACCTGTACCATGCACATATCTATCACAGGACTATCGTGGCTGAATCACTAAGACAGAAAGCCAAGGTATAATGAGGATTTAATATAACAAAGATCTAATATATTGCCATGAAGTGCGAGAGCCTTATAAGCTCTGGTAGTAGAACTATACAATATTAAAGAAATTGGGTCTCAGAATATCCTGTAAGCTACCAATTCTTGGGGTGAAAAGGGAATAGGATTTGATGATTGGACAGGGAAAAAAAGAGCATGCCTACCTAAGACAGAGAGTCAAAATGACAGGACAAGAGAAGGGGGACTTTTTAAAGCCACACACCCCTCCAACTGGAAGAAGCACTGTTTTATGCTTTATTGAGCTATTGTTACTGATTTAGGTGTGCATATTCTTATCTTTTTTTTTTTTTTTTTTTTTTTTTTTTTTTTTTTTTTTTTTTTTTGCATTCCCTAAGTGGGAATGTGACTACAGTCTTAGGATCTGGTGGCAACTTATATTAAGAAGCATCTCTGATAAATGCCACAGCTAGTTTGGACTACTTGTTTGATCTATACTCGTAATAGTGTTAACTATATTTTGTCACAGATAAAATACAGAAAACCCAGGGTTTTGTTGTTTTTAAACTAATAATGGCAAAGTAAAATCTGGATTTATAAAGTAGATGACAGCTGACGACCAAAGTCTATTAATCTCAGCAAATCCTCATTCACAAAATTTCTGTGACAGGCGAATACACATGCTGGCCAAATTTCAAAGAAAAGCAAAGAAGCCAGAAGACGATTCTATTTTGTAAACTTGACAGAGCTAACTTATAAATACTAAGAAATTTAAGTTTGACCACTGACAGTAAATTTGAAAAAAGCCTTTTTTTATTTATATTAATTAATGCAACTTAACTCAGTTTTGCATTTAATTCACATACTATATAATTCATTCACTCATGCATTCAACAAATAACTGGTGAGCACCCACTACAGGCCAGTAAAACAAGATATTCAAAGTCCCTTTCTTCCATTGAGCTTACCTACTAGTAGGAAAACAGAGATAATATTATCTGTTAGGTGATGATAAGTGCCCTGGAGAAAAATAAGACCTTGAAAGGAGATAACAGTGAGAGAGTGATTTTATTTTATAGAGAATGAGAAAAAAAAATACATTCCTGATAAAGTGATATTTTAGCGGAGAACTCAAGAAAATGGGAGAGGAAGTCATCTAGGAAAGTTCAGTGTAAGAAGAGCACAATTTTTAAAACAAACTGTAAACCTTGAAAACTGACCATGGGGCTTATGTTTCGTTTCGTTTCGTTTTGTTTTTAAAGGAGAGAGTGGGGCCAGGAGGGGCAGAGGGAGAGAAAGGGAGACTCCCCAGTAGGCTCCAGGCTATCAGCACAGCCTGGAACCCATGAATCATGAGATCATGACCTGAGTCAAAATGAAGAGTCTGATGCTTAATCAACTGAGCCACCCAGGCACCCCTTACCCCATGTTTAAACAGATTTTGTAACAAGCAGTAAAAAAATAAAGCTTAAAGTTTCAGATATTTGCATCTTTACTTATAATTTCATGTGAAGAATGTTAGTGACCAATGAAAAAACCAAAATATAATGGAGATAAGACTAAAATAAAGTAAGTAAATGCGAGAGACAAGTGATTTATATAACCTAAAACTGGACTGTCTTTACAAGAAAGCTGATTTAACTTAGAGCTTTTGTTCATTACAGGTTCTTTCAGAATCCCACTAGAAAAATTAGAATATAGTCATTCTTCACCAAAGAGTCACCATTAAGCCCAGTAACTTAAGTGAAACTATCGGCTGAAAGACATGAATGAAGTTCTTTGCCATTAGGCTTCTCAAGTGCTAGTCCTACACTCCTTGTCTATTTTAATCTCTATCACTCTACTCACATTTTCGTAAGCAGAATAACTGGTCTCTTCTACCCAGTTCTCAATCACATCCAAGCTAGGCTATGTCTGTAACAACTGACTAGGCAGAGCTTCTTCCCTTTATTTTTTAATACAAATATATGGTGTTATACTGTACACATATACCATACACATAATACACATATTATGGTATATGTTCATTTATATGGTATATAGTTTATTTAACTAGGTGCTTACTGGTGGACATTTAGGTTCTTTCCAATCTTTTGCTATTAAAAATATACTGCAAAAATAGCTCATATATATTTCATTTTACATGTAAGTAAATATATTCATAATGTAAATGCCCCAAAGGATCAAAGGGTATATATTTTCTATAATTCTAAAGGCTACTACCAGATTACCCTCCACAGAAATTGTACCTATTTACATTTCCACCAGCAAAGTATAAAAGTACTAATTTACCCACACCTCTGCTAATTTAGTGTCTTACCAAACATTTTAGGTATTGACAATCTGTTAAGAGAAAAACAGCAGGTCAGTGCAGTTTTAATTTGCATTTTTCTTATTGTAAGTGAAACTGGGCATCTGCTTCTATGTGTTTAAGAGCCACTAAATTTCCTTTGTATATTTCCACCCATTTTTAAAAAATTAGATTGGTAGACTATTCCTTATTCATTTTAGAAGTTCTTTGTATATAAGGAAAATTTATTCCTTATTCTATCAGTTGCAAATACCCTTGCTTTGGTTTGTAGTTTGTTCACAGTCATGTAAATCATGCTTAAAAATGTATTCAAATAGCTTTTTCAGCTAAATTAGAACAACTTATCATTGCTTAATATGTACCTATGTACCATATTTTATACTTAGTACACAGTTGATACTTAATATTTGCTGAACGACTGAATACATTTATCAAACACCAAATGCTTATAATCTGGGCATTAATACAGATGCTGGAGATACAAGAGAAAATAAAACAGGCTCTCTGCCCTCATAGAGAATTCTCCACAGAGAATTCTCACAGAGAATTCTCCACAGAGAATACAGAATTCTCCACAGATAATTCTGTCTGGTGGAGAAGACAGTTATACCAACAATTACCTATAACATTATATTAGAAGTACTTTAAAATACATGAAGGGCTGGGGCACCTGGGTGGCTCAGTCGGTTGAGCATCCGACTTTGGCTCAGGTCATGATCTCACGGTCCATTAGTTCGAGCCCTGCGTCGGGCTCTGTGCTGACAGCTCAGAGCCTGGAGCCTGCTTCAGATTCTGTGTCTCCCTCTCTCTCTGCCCCTTCCCTGCTCATGCTCTGTCTCAAAAATAAATAAAACGTTAAAAAGAAATTTTTAAAAAATAAAAAATAAAATTAAAAAAAAATAAAATACATGAAGGGCTGTGAACACAAAAATAAGAAATTAGATAATAATGTATGGAAAACTGTCAGAGTAGTAACATTCGCACTTGGAGAAGGCTGAGTTGGTGAATAAGAAAGGGAAGATCATTACCAGCATAAATATAAGCTATTTATAAGGAGCAAATCTCATAGGACAGGTGAATATAGTGTTTTATAATCACACAGGAGGAGTTAAAAGGTAGGTTTGGATAAGGTTCTACAGATCTTATACATAATCTTGAGAAGTGTGTATTTTATATTTCAGGCTTTTAATGGCAAACAGGTTTCATCTTACATATTCACTGGTAGTGACCACCCAGAATATTGCAGAGAATACTAAGGCTTTGTCTAAGCTTGGTTGGAAGGGTGCTATGATATACAGTCTACCATGCATTTAGAAGGAGGCAGTGGAAACAGTATACCAAATTATGCATTTGCAGTTAAGGAGTGTTATAAACATATTTCTGTCCTTGGGGAAGGAACAGTCAATGTGGAAGACTAAGGAAGGGTGGACGATGGGTGCCATGTCTCATATTAAAATTTCTTTCTTTTCTACCAATATGATAATGTCCGGTAGACATTAAAGTGTTCTGAAGACTGAAGTAAACAATCAAAAAAGGAGCTAAGTGAATAGAGCCTTCCCTAGGAGCAGAGTTCATAAGCTTTAGTGGGCAGATTCACTGACATCTGTTTTCTCAGAAAATTTCCCTTCACTTCCTATCTCTTAGTCTATCCACACCGAGTATTTATAGGTATTCAAGCTGGATAGAAATAGCCTTAATGCGTTTGCTTACTCTGGTTTGCAACCATATAATAAAAGATTCTACATGGAGGGTATAGAAGAAATGAAATCTATTTTGGTAAAAAAAAAAATTGCCATAATTTTATTTGTAAGAAATATCATCTTGATAAAATACAAATAAAATATTAGTCATTTAAATGAGCAAATAGACATCGTAGTGCATTTAAAGAATAACAGGTATACCACAAAAGAGTCTATAAGATGAAAACAAGTACATTTACAAATTTTAGAAAAGTTTCTATGTTGACTTGCCTCCATCTTGGGTAATAACTGGTAACGCCAAGCTATTTTCATTTTAATGTTAGATTCTGCTGTTTTATGATTACATGCGTCTTCATCAAAATCTTTTTTAACATTATCATCAAGTAATGGTGCAGGAAGTTCCTAAGAAAACAGAATGACACATTATTCAGCATCTGTGATTTAAAAATGTAACAATTTTCTTAAATGATAATATTAGCAATACTAGAACTTTCCAACGTCTTGATGCCTTAAAAATGATTCAAACATAAAGTCATGACAATATAGCTATTTCTAAAACAGAGGAAATATTATATATATAATATTGTGAAGTTTAATTTTTTAGGAATGAACTAGAATTTAAAGAAAATATTCAAACTTGTATACCATGAAAAGCCAAATGCCATTGCAACAAGAGGTATGATCTTTTCATATATATATACTATATATTTAAAGCAAAGTCTGGAATTAGCATTTATGTATTGCAGTTAAAGCAAAGTCTGAAATTAGCATTTATGTATTGCATTTAATTACTGTTATGTTTCCCACAAGGTAAAAATACAGCATGTGTGCAATCTGTTTACTGGTTTGTAATACTAGAATGCAAAAAACTCATTCATGAAAATAACAGCTGAAGTAACAACTAAGAATACAGGCATTTATTTTGCCCTTATCAAACATTACTTTTGTAAATGCAAACCTTTGTCTCTTCTGTTAACAATGAAAATAGATTTAACTCTCATTAAGTGAAGAGGTATTGAAGTCCAATTTTATCTTTTCTTTTTTGGAAGCTGACCTAGGGAGGAACAGCTATAAAAACATTGAAAACGTGTGTGTGTGTGTGTGTGTGTGTGTGTGTGTGTGTGTGTGTGTGTGTAAAGAGGTACTACAGTAACAACGCAAAGAAAAAAGTACATAAGTTTCTTGGAGAAGGAAAGCACATGAAATTGTTGCCTTTTTTATTAGTCAAAATCATAAAGATAATGTGGGGTGCTGGATTAATAAACACAATCTTGTGTTATGTCATAAATTAGTCTAAATTGCAACTTTTACTTTGCAAGATCAAATGTATTTATTCTTAGAATAATGTCAACTAAGCAGCTGGAAAACACATTAACCATTATATATTTTAGTTATCTACTAAAAGACCTCCAAATAGATCTACACTTTAATTTATGCTAGTATTAGATGAGTTATATCATTTAACTCTGAATCCATCATTCCTAGCAAAGCATTAGCATCTTACAAAATATAAAGTAACTTCTTCTAATGGAAATAAATATTTGTGAGGCATATGGTATAATACAGTATAGTGGCTATGAGTTTGAATCTTACAACTAAATTGTTTAGGTCCAAGTCTTGACTTTACACACTAGTAGCTAGGTCTGTGGTTACCTTGACCACCTATTGGACCTCTCTATATCTCTATTCATCATCTGAAATATAGAAATAACAATATTCATTTTATTGGGTTTTTGTAATGAATAAATGAGTAAAGAATGTGAAATGTAAGAAATGGTGCCTGCTGCATGTTAAGCACTTAATAAAATATCTGATTATGAGAATTCAGTCAAATAATTGCTTTAACCACTACTCAGAGCCACATATTTTGTGTTGGCAATAGTAGGCAATGTATTGATGGTTGAATCATTATATTGTACACCCAAAACTAATATAACACTGTATGTTAATTATACTTGAATTAAAAAAAAGAAAAAAGGAAATATCTAGTGCAGAATGCAGAAAGGAGGAACCTAATAGTGTTCCAGGGGCGCCCGGGTGGCTCAGTCGGTTAAGCGGCCGACTTCGGCTCAGGTCATGATCTCGCGGTCCGTGGGTTCGAGCCCCGCGTCGGGCTCTGTGCTGACAGCTCAGAGCCTGGAGCCTGTTTCAGATTCTGTGTCTCCCTCTCTCTGACCCTCCCCTGTTCATGCTCTCTCTCTGTCTCAAAAATAAATAAACGTTAAAAAAAATTTTTTTTTTCTAATAGTGTTCCTGAGTTGAAGTGACTATGCTAGGAGTTCAAGGAGGCCATGTGGCAAACTACAGGGGAAGAGTGGAGCACAGAGAGAGAGCTCCAGTGATCTGTGGAGGTAACTCTTGAGTACTGATCAGTACATAGACATAAGGAAACTACCCAAATGTGGTGAAAGAACCACTCAAAAGGAGCAAGCTGAACGATTTCTGCAGCTTACATAGAACCAGAAAAAGTCCATAGACTCACCGACCAGAGTGGAGAAACGTTGTAATTCATAAGGCTTTAAGTAGAGAAGCAAAATTAGCTTTAGAACAAAAGCTGCTCTGATCCCACCTGACAAAGCTCAAAAGCAAGCCTCAAAGTGATCAAAGTGTTTCCAAGTAACTTTACTGAATCCCAGAAATTAACTCAAGAATGTCAGCAGGAATGTAAAATATCCAGCACTGCACATGTTAAAATTCATACTATCTGGAGCCAATAAAAAAAATGAATGAAAAAGAACAGGAAAATAGGACCCATAATAAGGAGATGCAGCAGTGATACAAATATAATTAGACTAAGACAAAAAACAATTATGGTTATAGTCCATGTGTTCATTAAAGATTGAGCATATAGAGATATGGAAGACATATTATTAAAAGACCCAAATGAACCTCTAGAAATGAAAACTTCAAGATCTGAGATTTTTATTTTTTTATTTTTATTTTTTTTAACATTTATTTATTTTTGGGACAGTGAGAGACAGAGCATGAACGGGGGAGGGGCAGAGAGAGAGGGAGACACAGAATCGGAAACAGGCTCCAGGCTCTGAGCCATCAGCCCAGAGCCCGACACGGGGCTCGAACTCACGGACCGCGAGATCATGACCTGGCTGAAGTCGGACGCTTAACCGACTGCGCCACCCAGGCGCCCCTTGATCTGAGATTTTTAAAACCCACTGGATGGCAGGAGCAGATTAGACAATTCAGGAAAAAAGATTAATGAACTTCAAGACATATCAAGAGAAATTACAAAAAAAATAGCTATGACAAAGGTATCAAACTAAAAAATTAAAAAGCCAACCTCCCCCACAATAATCATTAAGTAAACCACATTCCTAGCATAAACTTATATACATACATGGATATATTAGACAAAATACTTCCAAAAAAATAGCATGTAATAAAATACTATTAATAGTGGAAAATGAACATTTTACTTTAATTTATACAAGAACACAAAAACAAAGCAAAATTGAAAGAATGATTCTCATCAATGATTCTTTACTTTGAGTGAGATTATTTCCTGACACATTCTCTTCTAGGATTAGAAGTGTGATACAAAGCACATTAAGATGTTGGAGTCCCTATGCTCCTTTCTATGTGTTTCAGTTTTCAGTGAAATCAGTTCCTCTTTTCTTCTTTCCTGTAAAGAATGAGGAAATCAGCATGTAGCACTTTTTCCCTATTATTTTTATAATGTCAAGCTTTATAGATTTATATTCTTGTCTGCAACCAGATACACAGTTGTTTAGTTTAGGTTTTTTGTTGAAATGGATTCACCATGGTTCCTTTTACCACAGTTCTGTCATTCTTGGGTTTTTAAAAATGATACCTGTGTTCATTTAGCAATTCCAGGAAGATACAAGGGATGAAGCAGTGAGCAAAATAAACAAAGGAAGGATAGTGATATGGATTTTAAGACAAAAGAGGGAAGGAATACAGAGTAATGGGAGGAGATGCCACTTTACATAGAGTAGTCAATGAAGTTCTCAGTGATGAAGTAAATACATGGATTATATTTTCAAATTTTTTTTTATCCAACCAATGCTTTGTGTGTGTGTGTGTGTGTGTGTGTGTGTGTGTGTGTGTGTGTAAATAACTATATATATCTATATCTATATGTGTATTTAGATATATGTATATATATAGATATAGATACATAGTATTGTATAGTATATATAGTATATATCTATATGTATATATATAGATATATATAGTTATAAGCTTAGTTATTAGCTAATAACTAAGTTGATTTATTATTAGCTTAGCTTAACACTAGGTAGGTGTTGCTATTGCCACTGTGTTATCTTCGGACAAGGAATGATGCTGTGATATTGAAGGCTTCCACTCTTGTAGGTGATTTGCTTCTTTCTAACTGAAAGCCTGAATAATTTCTCCTTTATCCTTGCAGTTTAATAACTTAAATGGGCTATATCTATGTCTATTGCTTTGTGTTATTTCTCCTCTGTAATATTGGAGGCCCCTTTAAGCTGAAGATTGTAATTTCAGGTAAAATTTTTTGTGTCTCACATTTAACATTATTTTTCTCTTCTACACGATACTAGAATATATTCTTATTGATATAAATATTAGGTATATCATTGACAGTTGTAAAATGTCACACAGTAAACAATTTAAATGTTAGACGATTAAATTTTCCCATTTTCTAGACCAGCTGTGACTTATAGAAATTTCTGTGATGTTGGAAATGTTCTATATCAGCACTATGCAATACGGTAGCTACAAGCCACTTAAATTTAATTTTATTAGATAACATATATTCTCACTTACTGTTTTAATCTCATTTCTCTAACTGTGTCGTGACTATTGCAAGCCTGTTCCTTACTGCTAATATTGGGTAATAATATTATTTAAGTCAAATTGTATTTTTAATTCTGCCATTATCCTTTTTATCCACTTCTCATGTTTTTTTCCCCCACTTCATTTCTGTGATATTTTATTGAACTCATGTTCTTTTTGTTGTTGTTTTGAACTCATGTTCTTATTAAGCTCTTATATAAATCTTTTATGGAAGAATTTCCTTCTCTTCTTGGATTATGTTTCTTTCAGACTTTTTTTCCTCTAGCTAAAGTTTGAAGGCTGAGTATTGTGCTACGCACCTCATTTTTCTCTATCTTTATGTGATGAGAGCTTAGACAAAATTAAACATCATCTTCTTTGGAAGACCTAGGATCTTCATTTTCTTATGAGATTTCATAAAATGGCAACTTCCTGTGTTCACATTAGTTGGTTCAGTGAGTATTTTATTCTCATTTAGGGGATGATATACTATTAAGGTTTGGATTACATACCGAATTCAGTGTTGCTTTCTGGAAAAATTACTTTAGTTTAAGACCATCAGCCCAAATTACCTTTTTAAGGTAATATTTCTTTGGTTTCTGGGT